GCGTTCCTGGAGGCTTTGGGAGTGACATGTACATTTAATTTGAAACAGTGAGGAAGTGTTTCCGCGGATTCTCTTTCCATAGATGTTTAAGGTTCTCTGCATATAAAGACCTCAGAATCTGCATGATTTTTTTTTTTTATGTTTTTTATTTATTTCTAGGAGAGAGAGAGAGAGACAGCATGAGCAGGGGAGGGTCAGAGAGAGAGGGAATCACAGACTCCGAAACAGGCTCCAGGCTCTGAGCTAGCAGTCAGCACAGAGCCCGACACGGGGCTCGAACCCACGNAATCAAATCATTATCTCAAAGAGATATCTGCACTCTCATGTCCATTGCAGTATTAGTCACTATAGCCAAGATATGGAAACAGTCTAAGTGTTGACAGATGAGTAAATAAAGAAAATGTATATATATGTATATATAATGGAATATCACTAAGACTTTATTTTTTTTTAATTTTTATTTATTTCGAGGAGAGAGAGAGACAGCGTGAGCAGGGGAGGGTCAGAGAGAGAGGGAATCACAGACTCCGAAACAGGCTCCAGGCTCTGAGCTAGCAGTCAGCACAGAGCCCGACACGGGGCTCGAACCCACGAACCGCGAGATCATGACCTAAGCGAAAGTCAGACGCTTAACCGACTAAGCCACCCAGGCGCCCCAGAATCTGCATGATTTCTGACCAGCGCCAAAACTTGAAACATATTGAAAGCACACTGATGTTGGGTCGCCAGGCTGGCTCAATCGGAAGAGTATGCGACTCTTGATCTTGGGGTTGTGAGTTCCAGCCCCCCTATTGGGCATAGGGATTGTTTAAAAATAAATAAATAAGGGCGCCTTGGTGGCTGAGATGGTTAAACGTTCAACTTCAGCTCAGGTCATGATCTCACAGTTGGTGGTTCGAGCCCTGCATCTGGCTGGCTGCTGTCAGCACAGAGCCCGCTTTGCATCCTCTGTCCACCCCCCCACCCCCACCCCCACCAATCCCTGCCCTGCTTTCCCTCTCTCTCAAAACTAAATGAACATTTAAATAAGTAAACTTAAAAAAACAAAACAAAAAAAACTCAGGGCGCCTGGATGGCCTGACTGGTTAAGCATCCGACTTTGGCTCAGGTCATGATCTCACAGTTCGTGGGTTCAAGCCCCGCACTGGTCTCTGTGCTGACAGCCAGCTCAGAGCCTAGAGCCTGTTTCAGATTCTGTATCTCGTTCTCTCTCTGACCCTGTCCTGCTCATGCTGTCTCTTTCAGAAATAAATAAAAACATTTTAAAATTTAAAAAAACAGAGAGAGATAAAAACAGTGATGTTAAAGGAAAAAAATGAAACTGAAAAGAGGCTTGGATTTTTTTCAGCTTTATCAATGTGTGATTATTGATGCATAATAGTGATGCATAGTAATACACGGCATGTATTTAAAATGTACACTTTGAGTTTTGACATGTGGATGTCAGAACAGCGCTCCAGTCAAGATAATGAACACAGCTGTCATCCCCAGGTTTCCTTATTTGTAGGTATAGGTCCCCCTTCTCTTGGCAACAGCTGATCTGTCACTTTCATCATGACAGATTAGTTTGCATTTCCTAGGATTTTATATAAATTTACATGTATTATATTTAAATGGAATCATATAGTATATATTTTTATGGAGGAGACGTTTCTGGTTTCTTTCCTTTTTTTTGTTTCTTTCAGAATAATTATTTTGAGATACATCCATATCTGTGGGTGGATCAGTACATCATTTCTTGGTTGATGACTTGTATTCCATTTTATGGTGCTATGGACTGAATTGTGTTCCCTATAATCAAATGTTGAAGCCCTAACCCCCAACTCAACTGTATTTGGAGATGGGGCTTTTAGGAGCTGACTAGGGTTAAATGAGGTCAAAAGTGTGGGGTCCTAATCTGGTATGTTTGGTGGCCTTATAAGAAGAATAGTGGGGACATGTGGGCGGTTCAGTCGGTTGGGCATCTGACTTTGGGTCAGGTCATGATCTCACAGCTCATGAGTTTGAGGCCACTGTTTGTGAGTTCAAGGCCCACATCAGGCTCTGTGCTGACAGCTCAGAGCCTGGAGCCTGCTTCAGATTCTGTGTCTCCCTCTCTGCTCCTCCCCCACTCGCTTTCTGTCTCTCTCTTTCTCTCTCTCTCAAAAATAAACATTAAAAAAAAAAAGAAAAAGAGGAATAGTGATCTCTCCATGTGTATGCAGTGAGGCAGGGCTGTGTGAGAATATAGCAAGGAGGTGGCCCCTGTGAGCCAGGAAGAGAACTCTCACTGGGCCTGGACCATGCCGACATCCTGATCCTGAACTTCCAGCCTCCAGGACTCTGATGAGATCAATTTCTGTGGTTTTAGCCATCCAGCCAATGGTGTTTTGTTGCCATGGCCTGAGCAGGCTAAGACCTACAGATACACAGTTTGTCTTCCCGTCTTCCTGTTAGATGTTTCCCTGTTAGGGCTATTGCAAATAAGGCTGCTGTGAACGTTCATGCATGAGTTTTTGTGTAGACACGTGCTTTCGTTTGGGTAAATATCTAGGAGTGGACTGGCTGGATCATGTGTTCCACTTTTTAAAAAACTGGCAGGTGATTTTCTGAAGTGATTGTACCATTTTGCTTTCGGACTAGTGGCATATGAGAATTCTGGTTCTTCCACGTCAGTCTTGAGGCTTGACTTTTGAATAGCTCTTGCTCAGCTGGTCCATCCTAAGGTAGAGCGGGATGGCCTGCTGGGATATGGCCAGGAGAGGTGCGGACAGAAGGCCGTGTCACCGGGGATTCCTCTGCCATACTCGCTATATTCTCAAATGAGAATTGTTTATGCCTCCATGAACTTGCTTTCCACAAAAATATAGAATGACTTAGTATCTTTATCCGTAATACTTGTCCTTCTTTCATTGCTTACTGTTCTTTGTTTTTGTTTTGTTTCTTTACTTGCAGACCTCCTGGGTTAAGCTGAGAGTTTCTGGGCTATGAGGTATTAGAGGGAGCCTGGGTTTTAGTGTCAGACACACCTGGATTTGAATTTGTGCTTTGTCGCTTAGCTGTGTGGCAAGGCTTGTAGCCTGACTCTGTTTTCTCATGTTTCTAGGAAGTGTAGGGAGGTTGATACCGCCTTGCTTAGCTTGCGGAGTTTTTATAAGGCTTACATATAATGCATTGAAAACATCTTCATTGAGCATCTTGGAGACTGTATTCATTTCCCAAGATATATATGTAATCATAAGTTCCATTTTCTATTTGCCCTTCTACCCACTGAGTAGGAGAGGAATTGAAGTTTTAATGGGTGCCTCCAGTTAGCAGGAGGCCCAGAGGAGATGGCGAAATACAGGGGCATTGCCAGAGCTTGGTGTAACCTTGCAATGTTGAGTGACATCCAAGCCTTCCTTTGGCCATTTACGTTGTATTGTGGATATATTTCACATGCCTATTTATGTGCTTATACAAAGACAACTCTTGCCTGAGAGTGATTCCTTAAGCAGCCCATTTGGGAACCCCCAGCTTCCACGCTACTTAGGAGATGTTTTTAAGGAGGAGAAAAGGAACATACCGTGGCTCCGGGACGGATGTTTCTCAGGCCTCTGGGATCCCAGCCAGCGTACGCGTCTGCCTCTCTCAGTGCTTGGGCTTCAGTGTTTGAGCGCAGGCCTTTTGGCCCGCGGAATCCTTTGTCCAGCTGGCTGAGGTGCGTTGAAGTGCTTGGGGCCTTCCCTCCCATGGAGAAGTGGGAAGTTATTCTTTGATGGCTGGGCCAGACTGCTCATCTGATGTTACTGGGGTTTGAAAGGTTGTCCTGGTAGTCAAGTGGTTGGCATTAGTGTGGCCAGGGTAGGCCGGGATGGGGACTGCAAGGGGAGGGGAAGGTCCCAGCGAGGCGGGACGTGTGGGTGTCAGTAGGCACTGGGTTTGTTTTGCCAGGTGAGGGTGTCTGGGGGCCTTCTCTCCCCTGCCTAACCGCTGGGTTCCAAGTGTCCTGCAGCGTTTCTCCTTAGAGCCGGCTGGCTTTCTTGGCATCGTTCAGTCTAGTTGCTAGGAAGCCGAATAAGGCAAATGCAACTTCCTTTTGACTTACTCACATTGAACCATCTGCTTATTCCTTCTCATGGCCTTCAAACTTGGCTAGGATCGTTGAGAAGAGGGTCGAGCGGAGCATCTGTGCTCCTGATCCTTTTTGGAAAAGGAAAGCTTTCTAATAACTCTTTAACCCTCTCGGGCCAAAATCATAACAGTTAAATCTTGTTTAGCCCCTTGTTTCTCTCAGCTAACAATTTGGAACAGGCATTTTCTTCTTAGGTTTTGCCCCTTATTTTTGTCTTAGATTTAGATCTGTTATTCGTTAACCATACAACTTTTAAATGAGGAGAATGGTGTTGACGTGTGTCAAATGCATTTGGTATGTAAACATAACAGTCGTCTTAATAGAGAACCTTGTGTACTCAGACTTGATATACACGAATCATTTGAGAGTGTTCTTTCAAAAGCACCATTGTGGAGTAGGTGCCAGATGATTTGTGAAAATTTATGGTGACGTTGGTGGAACATCTACCAAAGAGAAGCTTTAAACACACACACACACACACACACAGATTTTTTTTTTAAATTACCAAACACCACCAGCATTACGTTCTTGCTTTTTTTTTTTTTTTTAGCTTTAATTCAGTTCACTGGGGCAAATCAGACTCATTCTGTTGCATTCTGTTGAAGCCCCTTTCCACTGGTGAATTTATAATGGTCTTCTTTCCTTGTGACAGAGCTGTGCCTTCAGTGGTCAACTCTGGAAAAGCAGTTGAGCAAACAAACTAAACAAAAATAGAAATAAGCATTACAAACTAGAATAGAAGCTGGAAAAAAAAAAAGTCTTGAGAAAAGCATTGTTCGAGTTTTTAAGATCCAGTTTAACTGAAGATTTAATCACCTCTGAGTGTACCAGGACTGTGGAAACTAATGTGTGGGCTATGGGAAATAATTTCTTCTTAAGTGTAATTTTGTCTTTGTTGGTTTTTTAGCAGCAAGCCATATAAACCTTTGCTGCCGACTTCTTATTCTCCCCAAGAGGGCTACTTAGAGGAGGGTGAAGACATGCTAAGGTAAAGTTTTATTGTTGTGGCTCAGTTTGCTAAAAGCTTTAGTAGTAATTTAGATGTGTTCTTACTGTGCAGACTTATGTGTTTGTTAAAATTGATGCTATTAATATTTGCTTTTTGGGGAGTCCCTCAGGTCAGCTTGATCATGTTAAGCCATTCTGCTTTAACTTCTCCCTCTCCGTAGTCATTTGGACTCTAGTAACTAAAACAGACCTGCAAGCCGATGGGACTCAGCCACCCACGCCACTCAGGGGAGCCACCCACTTGGGTGACCTGCTTGGCCCCCCACTCCCTTCTTCCACACCGCCCCACCTTTTTTGTGCTACCATCTAACCATGCCCCGAAAATGCAAATTTACTTTATTATGAGATGAACCTGTATCCTTGTATAATAAATAAAGTCACTTTAAAAGGGCTTAGTTTTTCCCACCGCCCCACCTTTTTTGTGCTACCATCTAACCATGCCCCGAAAATGCAAATTTACTTTATTATGAGATGAACCTGTATCCTTGTATAATAAATAAAGTCACTTTAAAAGGGCTTAGTTTTTCCCCCAAGGAATAGATACACAGATGTAAAAGTGTCTGATAATGAAAAGTGAAAATCCCTTTCAGAACCCTCCCCGTTCCCCTCCCCCACTGGTTTTTAACCTGAAATAGCTCACACTGGCATATTGTTTGGAAATTCGTTTCTTTCACGTAACTGAAACAGTATGTGATGGAGGATTAGTCATCCTTGTTGCTTTTGACCACTGTGTCGTATTCCAGAGTATGTCAACCAGTGTTGAAGGCGGTCTTGCTTAGTTTCCTGTCTCTTATAGTCAGCCATGGAATTCTCTAAGTAACTAAGTAGGTAAATCAGCATGGCACTTCAGGATTCTTGCTTCGGATCTACCTCTGTAGTTTGGGTAAAAGCAGTGTTTCCTTGAACTGTATTTGAATTGATTTTTATATGTATGAACCTTGACAGGGCCTCTCGCCTGCATTAAAGATGAGATTTGTGTCAGATTAGATTAATAATTCAAAATTGAAAAATGCCTTCCTCGACTGCGGAAGCACTTGGTAGTATAGAATTCAGGAGTGACTGTTAATGGGAGTAGTCTCTCTCAGGTAACATTTCCTGACAATGAGGCTCAGAATACTTGCACTGGTAGGCGATCTTCTGAAGGAGTGATTTTCTTAGCTCTGCTGTGAAGGAAACCTAAAGGCAGAGATGGATGATAATGGCTCACATCTGTTGAGGGCCTGGTCTGCATCAGACACCGTTCTAAGGGATTTACCTGCATTAACTCATTTAGTCCTCATAACAACACTTCCAAGTAGATTCTCATAGCCCCATTTTACAGGTGGGGAAACTGAGGCATGACACATGACAATGTTAAGTAACTTGTTCAAGCTTACCCAATTAGTAAGTGACAGCACTGAGACTCGTACGTAGGCAGTTGCAAATTTCAGCACCATACTGCCTTTCCTGGGAAAGCCAGCAAGAACATAGCCTAGCAAGGGTTGGAGGAAGCAGACAGCTTAAGGAATGGCCCCTGGAGTCAGTGGTTAGTGTTTGTCAGACATAGTAGGCAACGGTAAAGCCTGCCTCAGGGAAGGGAACATGCTTGTCCAGCTCCGGATTCTCAGGGAGTAGGGGAGGCATGGATTCAGGCAAAAGCTTTGCCTCCAGAAGTCTGGAGCTGCGTCTCTGCAGTGTCAGAAAATTGTATGTGGACAAGAACCCGAATGAAAACCATACAGGGAGAGAGCACAGGGATCGATGTTGGCTGGCAGCTTGCTGAATAGTCCTGGTGTGACTAAGGGTGTCCCGTGCTGCCTTGCCGGGCGGTGCGAGGCCTCTGGCGAGAAAGGAGCTAATTGCTGCGTGCCGAGGTGGTTCTCTCCCTGGCAGGACATTCCTTGTGGACGGACACACCGGCGTCTGGATGCTGGAGAGCCGCAGTAAAAATGCCTGATTTAGGGTAGAGAGCACATCGAATTCCCCCTTTCTTCTGTTAAATCACAGCAAAGGGGACTATTTTAGATGGCTAATAGATTACCCAGCATCTGTGCACTATTTCGCACGCCTTTAGCAAGGGAAAATAGCTTGCTCACAGGAGTTGTAGAGTGTTTAGGAGTAAAGTGAGCAGATCCTGTTGACTCATTTTTTTACCCATATCCAGCGAAGACCTTCACAGATAAGCACCTCAAAGGATACACACATCTGGTAAAAGGATCTCTTCTCCTTTAAAATAAATACCTTGAAGTATGAGGCTGTCTCTTTTCTGTATAGGTCTGACTTGACAAAGATCGGTGGCTCCTATGTACTTTTCATCATAATAGGCAAGAGGAAGTAAATGGGAGAGAGCAGAAAAATCCTGGAAACACATATTCTAAAATGAGTACAGATTATTAACTTTTTAGCTCTGTGGAGACACAGCCTTTATTTTGGTGCATATGGATTGTGCTAGGTGGCCTGGTATCTTTTTTTTTTTTTTTTTAACTTGGGGATAGATTTATAGAGGGAAACTACGTTTGCATAAACTATTCTATTTTCATGCATCCAGTAGCATTAAAGAATTACAGCAGAATGTGGCTGATTATTCAAAAAGGAATGAAGAGAACCATGAGCGATACCAGTCCATTCAGTTAGGTAAGAGTCTTGCTGAGAATCTACTTCTCTCTTCTTCATCTCTTCCTTACAGAGGGGTTGCCATTCACTTACACTTTTGTAAAAAACCCTGAGAACCTTTACTGATTGCCTTTGCCCTTGCAAAAACATGAGCATGTCAATATTTTTCAGGTGATGCCAACAGTAGGAACACTTGGAAAGAAGAGCTTTTCCAGCACTTCTATCAAGTGGTTCAGAAAGAACGTGATCAAGAGAGGCCTTCAGATTGCGTTATTGTTTCTATCAACAACAAACAGAGGTATATATTTATTTCTTTTTAGCCTGTCGAATGAGAACGTGTGCAGATGAAATGATTAAGTAGTCAGCCTTACATGCCTAAGTCACTGAGAGTTGAAAGGCTCTCACGGCGTCCCTAGAACTCTGCTCTCCGAGTTACAAGAATAGGCTGCTGGGTTTGCCAAGCTGGTGGCAGAGGCCTCCTGTGGAAGGGGAGGTTTCTGACAGTGACTGTCTTACTCAGTTTTGTGTGTTGCTCAACTTTTCTGTAATGTGTATCTATCAGTTTTATAATCTGAAGGGAAAAAAAAAAACAAGGCTATTTTCAGGGCTGAGTTGCGTGTGCCAGGCACCATTCTAGGCTCTGGGGATACTTTAATGAACATAACAGACAAACCTTTGCCTTGGGCGCAGACAGTCTAGTGCAGGATGCCACAAGTTGGCCTCACTGATATTTCAGAGAAGGATTCCTCTCGTTTCTTAACTGCTTGTTCAGTTCCTTTCAGCCTGTGTCCTTGCTGTTTTTCCTTCAGTGTGGGATGTCTGATCCTTCTTCTCCATCTGTAACTCATGCAGGCCAGCTAACACCTGTTACTCGGGTAGGCCCCTTAATACCTGTAACTCAGGCAGCCCACTTAAGTGCAACTGTGGCCTGGTTACCTGCTCTCTCGGCTGTCTCTGGCTTGCCCTTTGGGTCTGTGTAGTGCCCTGACCTTGTGCACCATTGGCTGGCACTTGAAGGCAGATGGGACTTGGTGTGATGATAATTGTGTCTCTGGATTATGTCAGGTTTCGTAGTGCTTGGCAGAGAGCATGTAGATAGATGATTGGCTGGAAGCACACACGCTTACTGCAGACTAGGCACTGGGTGGGTGGCACTGCAGACCCAGACATGAGAACCAGTCCTCCCTGAGCAGGAGACCAAGCATGCACAGAACGTAATTCAGCACAAAGGCAGCATTGGTCTTCATACTTTATGGGAAAGTCGGCAATCTTAAAGTGACTCAGAATTCTTATTCTGTGATACCTACTTTACAGAAGTCTAACTTATTTGTAGATAGCATCTTAACTGGAGGAGTTTGTGAAAGCACACTTTCAGCTTCAACTCATTTGGAGGGTATTTGGGTTGGATCTTGAGAGACAGCATCCTGGAAGAAATGAGGTCAGTCACAGCACAGGGAGGGCAGGAGTGGCCAGTTCCTTTTACATTAGAAAATTACGGGATTTCCCTTTAATAATTGAAAGACAACCAGACATGCCGTGGATTAAGCTGATCATCTGGTAGTTTAAACCAGTTTTGAACAAGAGGCAGTAAAGGCTCAGTATGCACAGTAGTTTGGTTTTCCCCCAATATTTAGCCACCGGGGTACCATAGTTTGCATCAGCCAGAGGAACTGCGTTCATCTCTGACTAAATCAGTTTTCTTGGAACCTGTAGCAAGCATCGCATCCAATCTGTAGCCCCTTGTACCTTTTTCAGAATTGTGTTATGCTCCAGCACCGCTCGACTCCCACACCCTGGAGCCCTGGCCACTCTCCCCACTCCAGAGCCAGGCTCGCTGGGTGTTGATTGGAGTGCAGCGCTGTGTGGTGGAGAGGAGGCCCTGAGACTGCTTTCCTCCCCCATCCATCTGGGGTGATACTCAGAAAGCGCTCCTTTGCTCGGCATTCTGCAGCTTGGCGTCTAGCCATGGATTAGGGCCTTCAGTGGGTGCAGCTCGGGGACCCCTCAGCCACATGCAGGCTGCATCTGCCAGGGAGCCCGAGAACCAGGCCACGCTGCCTGCTCTGCTGTCACTCTGATGTTGGAAAGATTTGCGGTGATATATCCGGTTGGCTAATTCATTCTTTTATACTCCAAAACAGTAATTACTTTTCAAATGATACCCTCCAACATGAATTATGATTGTGATAGTTTTAACTCCCAGGCTATCACTCTGTAAATAGGAACCATGTCTTGTTTGTCTTGTTTTTCTTGTTTTCCTCTTGAACATATTTTCTGAAATCACCCATACTCTCCTAAATTGCCTGGAAAGCACTTCCCTGCCATCATTTAAATTTTTTTTCTTAATATTTTGAAGTTTATTTATTTTCAGAAAGACAGAGACAGTGTGATCAGGGGAGGGGCAGAGAGAGAGACAGAGAATCCCATACAGCCTCTGCACTGTCAGTGCAGAGCCCAGTGTGGGGCTTGAACTCATGAACCATGAGAACATGACCAGAGCCGAAATCAAGAGTCAGATGCTTAACCAACTGAGCCACCCAGGGACCCCTCATTTTAATTTTTAATTCACAGAACATGAATTTAGTGTGTCCTTGTTCTGTGTAAAGCTCCTCACTGCTAAAGTACAGTGAGGAACGCACAGATAATTGACAGTTCCCCTTCTGTACTGCATGCAGCCTCATAAGATAAAACATGTCCATAACTAACAAGTGGCAGATGGGACACGCCAGGAGTTGTTCCTGCTCTAAGCAGAGGGTACATAAGAGGAAGAGGAGACGGCCATTGTAGCGTCTAAGGCGGCTTCAGGGAGTAATGTCATTTGAGGTTTCTAACTTTTTATTCAGGTTTTTCTCTTTTTTTTCTTTTTAAATTTTTATTAATTTTTATTTTTATGGAGAGAGAGAGCACACACGTGCGAGTGAGTGCGTGAGCTGGAGGAGGGGCAGAGGGAGAGAGAGAATTTCAGGCAGGCTCCACACTCATCCAGGAGTCTGACCCAGGGTCTGTGATCATGACCTGAGCAGAAATTAAGAGTCAGTTGCTCAACCAACTGAGGCACCCAGGCGCCCCTTTATTCAAGTTTCTAAGCAAGTATCGGGCACAAGGGAAACATAAACCTGAAGGAGAAGGTCCGAGATAGATTCTTTATGACTTGAAGACCGAGGCTGAGGAAGTGAGAGATGAGATGAATCTGGGGTGTGGTCCAAGGTTGGTTACGAGACGGTTGATAGTAACTGAGATGGATAACTCCAGCGTCATCCATTTACTCTTCTCTTTCTCTCTCCCTCTCTCTCTCTCTCTCTCTCTCTCTCGCCAACACATTTACTTATTTGTTTATTTGCTTATTTATTTAAGTAAACTCTACCCCCAACATGGGGCTCAAACCTCACGATCAAGAGTCACATGCTCCACCTACTGAGCCAGCCAGGCACCCCCCCCTCATCTGTTCACTCTTGAGCAAGGAATTGTCTCAGTGGTGGTGACCTCAGGAAATACTGGTCTGTCCCAGGAACTAATTGTAAATGAGCATTCTCTTTATTTTTCTGAAGATAATAGTCTTATCTGTTCTTTACAATAAATCCTAAACTTTCTTTCTTATACTTTAAATTGAAATGACTTCATCAAATAACACTTGAATGATTCCATTTTGAAAAATGCTGGTGTTTATCCAGTGTATCATGTCATACAAAAACACGACTTTCACATACTTGGCTTTCTTTATAAAATTCTATACATAGTCAGTGATTTGAGGACACCACATTTTCAGAAAAGAAAGTTTCCTTTGGTTAGAGTCGCCTCCAGTTCTCTTGGCTGACTCCATCAGACAGATAATGTACTGTTGACATTTTCAGTGTGTCTAAGAATGAAAACAAATTGTACAGCATGCCTAATTTTTCAAAAAATAGAGCTTATCCAAGTTCAGTAAAAATATAGTATCTTACACCTCACTTGCTTAAATTTGTCATCAAAATATCTATGGAATAACTGCTTGGTGATATAGGTTATTCCCCCCCCCCCTTTTATTTAATTGAAAATGACCTCCCTCTTTCTTGTGTGTGTGGTGTCTTGTTTGTTTTTTTTTAAGGGACTACGCCACCGGCATAGGTCATCAATTGCAGGATCACGGCCTTATGGTGGAAATGATTCACCTCTCCTCAGAATCAAGTCTTCCGCGAGCACTCCAGGAAGTTAAAGATGATGGGTCCCCGTTTTGCATTCTTGTCGAACAGTCTAATGTAAAACTTTCCTCTTGCACTGTAATTATACTTGATGAGTCTATCAAAAGTAAGTTTAGCCCAATCTAGAACTATCACTTAGAATAGATCCTGCTTTAAAAATGTAATGGTTTTTATCTGTATGCTTATGCTTTGAAGGTTCATGTTTGTCAGTAACTAACGTGGATCTAGCTGAGGAAAAGTGACTTAAATAGGTATCACAAACTAGTCTCCTGTGTCTCAGAGAGGATTGAAACTTAAATCATCTTCATTGCTTCTTACTTAAGAATCCAGGATATCTTTTCCAAAATATTGTGTAACAAGTCAATTCTCTCTCCCTTTTAAAAAAATGTTTATTTATTCTGAGAGAGAGAGAGTATGTGTGTGCACAAGCCAGGGAGGGACAGAGAGAGAGGGAGAAAGAATCCCAAAGCAATGGGGCTCTATCCCAGGAACCGTGAGATCATGACCTGAGCTGAAATTAATAATCAGATGCTTAACCTACTGAGCCACCCAGGTGCCCCAACAAGTCAGTTCTCTTACATAAAACTTGTGACCAGATCTTGCCACCATCTTTTCTTTGCTCAGTGGGAAGCTTAAAAGACATTATGTTCATCATCCTGTGCATTCTCTTAGACTGTTTTTCTGCTGACTTTCCCTTTTCTGTGATATCTCAAACATTTCATTATTCTTAGGCTCGTGAGAGTACACAAAAATAAACACTCTTTCTCCCCGAAACACATAGACATAGGTGTCTAGATGCACACACCCTAGACGACCCTCATCTTTTCCTCCTGATCAGAGCTGCTGCTTCTCGAGAGGCGTCTGCCTCGTGAAGGGCCCCTTGGCAGCTCCTTGGCAGTCAAACCCAGACAAGCCTAGGTTCTCCAGTCCTCTTGTCTGTCTGGAAGCTCTCGGGCCCGTTCTGTGCAGTCCACACTTACTAACTGAGCTCCTCATGTGTGCCCGGCACTGCCAGCCCTGCCCCTGCCATGTGCCCAGGGGAGCAGCAGCCGGGCACGCTTCTCCTAGGCCAATCCCAGCTTGCGTCACATTGCTTTAGAGCCGACGGTTTAATACCTCACATGCAGCCGTTACTCAGAGGTGCGGGGAGCTGCTTCTGTGCCAAGACAAGCATTTAAAACAGACAGTGAGGAAGGCTCAGTCGGTTAAGCATCCGACTTCGACTCAGGTCCTGATTTCACAGTTCACGAGTTCGAGCCCTGCGTCGGGCTCTGTGCTGACAGCTCAGAGCCAGGATCCTGCTTCAGATCCTGTGTCTCCCTCTCTCTGACCCTCCCCCACTCGCACTCTGCCTCTCTCAAATATAAGTAAACATTAAAAAAAAAAAAAAAGACAGACAAGAAACTTTAGTACCTGAAGGCAAATGTATATTCATATTTTGTCCTAAATGTAACCTTAATAAACACCACTTAAGATTTAGCCAAATATCGTAATCTCCATTGTAGCTTTGTAGTGCCCTTGGGTCCTAAATTTGTTCAGAAGTCAGCAAGACAGGGTGGGGGCCTCCCATCTAAAATTAAACTTTAACGAAATCATATTCTCCATAGATAAACCTAGGAGAGATCAGAAGACACCTATGCATTGACTGTAGCCATGTAGTTACTTAAAAGCCATTCCTGGTGTCTAGAATTTATTTTACATGTGATGTATATGTGACCTGACCCGGAAAGGCTTTTAGCATGATTTAAGACCCCAGGGGCCTCAGCCGGACTGCAGAGCCACATAGACGATTGTGGGTTCCTCCTCAGGCCATGGTAGCAGAGCCTAGAAGCTCTGCACCGCAGGTCTGTCTGTGTCTGTCTGTCTGCCTTTTATCAAAGTGTTACATATACAGAGTTAAAAGATAAACACTAAAAGAGTTTGTAATGAAAACCAGCAGCCCCGTTTCACACTTGCTCTCCTCTCTAAAGGCTCTGTTCTCTGCTTCCACTTCTTTCTTCTGTGAATCACACTCCTTTCAAGTCATCCTCCCTGATCACTGGAACCAAATTAAACACCTTCGCTTCTAGGAATTTTTCACCCTTAAATGTTCCTAGTAGCCAGCACTGGTTGAAGTTGCATCCTTTTTTTTAGGCTAGATTTGCTTAGCGTTAAGAATTCCCATTGATACACATGGCCCGTTTCCTCACTCTCTACTTCTGTCTCTCCTTTTTTCTTTCTCATCAGTGTAGCATGAAGCTGTCCAGTTGTGAAAAGAGGGTTTGTATGAAAATGGTAAACCAAGCTGCACATGTTATAATTTTGAAATAAAATGTAATGTTTGATTTTGAAATCTGACAGGGCACCTGCTGCCGAGGGTCCCAATCCATTGGATCAGTAGGTGATCACATCTTCCTGAAAGCCAACACAGTTTAAACAACACGTAGTTGGATCAACTGTTATTTTCTGATTTAAAACAGAATCAGGGCAGCCATTTGTTGTAAAGCAGGCTCTTTCTTGTCCCCAGTACATCGTCATATGCCTCTGGAAGATGCCCTGGGGTTGGTGGCCAAAGAATACAGGAGATTTTTGTCCAAACGGGAGCAGCAGGAGCGTGCTGAAATTGCTCTGAGGGCCGGAGATCTCCTGGACGACTTCTTAGCTAGGGAGCGCCTCCCCAGCTACTCTGTCCCTTCGGGCATTCAGCACCTTGTCTTCCTGTTGACTGAGGGAAAGCATCTGCATGGGAATGAGTTGAACCTCCTCATTGACTACCTGAAGACCAGGAAGGGGCACCTGGAAGGTATTTGGCACTGTCCCTGTTCCTTACCCATTTTAAACCGCAGAAAATCCTTTCCTGCAAATTGCTATGTGAAAATAACTTAAGAATTTTTTTATTTAATTGAGAGACTGTACCTCTGTAATATAAAGGTGTGTGATAGGAACAGGTTCTACATAGGAACTATACTACGTTAATGTTTAACTTTTATAGGTTAACATGCTTTTTCTCAAGCCATATTTCCTTTTGCATCAGATGTTTAATATATAAATAGGATGACTTCTCTATGTAGGTATACATGTGGGAAATAATTTCTGTTCTCTGTTGGCTTACTCTTATGACTCGAAGTTTCAGCTTATTAACTGAGACATTTGTAGATTATTAAGTGTGTACATGAAGAAGCAGTTCCTAATCTTGAAGATTGTAAAGCTCATTTCATTTATGAGCCAAATTCCTTCAAATGGGAGACTTTTCAGTTTGTTGTTGTTGTTTTAATGTTTATTTTTGAGAGAGAGAGAGAGAGCACAAGTGAGGGAGGGGCAGGGAGAGAGGGAGACACAGAATCTGAAGCAGCCTCCAGGCTCTGAGCTGTCAGCACAGAGCCTGACACAGGGCTTGAACTCACGAACCGCGAGATCGTGACCTGAGGCGAAGTCAAACACCCAACTAACTGAGCCACCCAGGCGCCCCCAGTTTACTTGTTTTGAGTTAAGTATGAAAAGACTATAATAACCATGTGTCCCCTGTGGGAAAACAACAGCTGAAGTTCTAGGACCATGTTAAAGCTTTAAAGAAATCCTTCATCATCTTACAAAATGTACAATGTATTGTACTTTTGTACATTTTTTATTACACTTTCTTCGGGGTTGGGAGGCTCATAAACTTACAACACAATAGGTTCTAACCCCCCCCACTCCCCCGGGTACTACGTAATTGATTAATGGATTGAAAGAAGCATAATTCACGTCTAATGTTCTGTTACTTTCAGATGTACAGCGTAGTGATTTGGTGTTTCTGTGTACGGTCTAATGACCACAGTGAGTCTAGTTAACTGCCTGTTTCTCTTTGATCGTAGAAACCTCTCAATGAGGAATAGTGAAGGTCTTCCTCAAATTCCCAGAGTTGTTGTTTGTGTAGCTCGCCGGCCTCCTCAGCTGACTTCTGGTGACCATTTGTTTCCTTCATTTGTCCAGGCTTTGAGACGCCCGAGTCTTCAGCTGGCAATGACCATCCCTCGTTTCCAGGCAGGAGTACCCCAGTTGTGGGCAAGCCGCCTCCACTTCTTCCAACCCCTGGAAAGGGATCCTTCTCAGGCCCTCATCCCCCCCTGTCTGTCAAGTCCCCATTGTTAGGGGACAGACCAGGAGGGGCCCTCCTTCCTCTTCCAGGTCAGTGTGTCCCTCTTGGAATGAGAGACATCAGTACTCTGCTGCCTCTCCACGCCTTGCCCCGAGAGAGCAGGACAGTGTGGAGCCATTGCAGGGTTCGTCGTCATAGTCTGAGGGTTAAGATTCCAGAAGCTCAGGAGGGACACCTGGGACTTCAGCGGATGCCATTCCTCTTGAACGAGTTGCTGAGGTTTGAACACAGGGAGCTCTCCTGTCAGGGTCAGAGGCCACATTTAGAATGGCTTATGCGGAGTTCTCTTAAGAAGCACTCTGAATTCCATAGTGTTTTTGAGGCTCTTCTGAGCCCTTGGTGCTAAACAGTATCTGACATCTGCCTAAAATGAGGTTGTATTACTGGGGACTTCTTCCATTGTAAGTGACAGGGACCTAACTCAGTTAGCTTCAAACGAGGGACCTGACTGGCTTCCATAACTGCAAAGCCCTACAGTTGACTGACTTGTGGCTGGACTGGGACCTGCTGCTCAAACACGTTCATCAGACGTGAGTCTCTTCCCTCTGGGAGGAGGCTGGGCTGTGGGACTGACCACTTAGGCGTACAGACTTCCAGTCAAGCCCAGTGTCTGGCCCTGGGTCCTGGGGCCCCCGGTGTCTGAGCCTTTCCTGCTCCTTGAGGGTAAAGAGTTTTAACTCCTCTGCAAGCACCTAGGATGCAGCTCCCTCTGCTTAGTCACTGCTGCCTCTGTTTCTTGTGTTCATACGCTCGTGTCTTCTTTGGTGTTCTCCTTGCGTATTAGTGATGGCCGCGGGGAAGGAATGGATGAAAGCACGTTTTCAGTCTGCCATGTTAAAGACAAAGTTGGCAGAGAAGTCTTTGTGGTTAGGTGGCTTTTCTCTTGAGCTCGAATAAAACTTGCACCTGGGATGCATTTGGGCATAAGAGTCAAATATTGCTTTGGTCTTTATGTGAGCAGGGATTATTTTAGCCCCAAATCTTTCTTACGAGCACATTATTTCCACCTTGACTATTATTGTGGCTCAAAACAGAAGGATGTGCCCCCTTGCTCTGGTAGCTGTGCTTGTGTACATCCATTATGGGTGAAGTCAGTCTCTGTGAAGATCCACAGCCCTAGGAATGAGCATTTCTGGGCGCCCCTCCCTTTCTGACCTGGTGACCTTCGGGATGATTGAGTATAGTTTCAGGTGCTCTTCATTCCCTCTCAGCCTGGACGTTCTTACTGTCCTGTGTTTGTTCCTTCTTTCCTTCTGCTACACTCACCATGCTCCCCTGTGCCTTGGCCAGCCCCTGGTCCACTGCTGGGCATTCTTACCACCTGGCTCCTGTGAGAAGTGAGTGAATTAAGAAGAGAAGGGCTCAGGAGGAGATTTTTTGCTCTGAATTGTTTCTCATCCTTGCCAAAAGTTTCAAAACAAAATTCTTTCAGACCTTCAGAAAGGGTTTGACATGACCGGCAGAAAAATGCCCTGTTCAGCAGGGTGAGGACTAGGCAAGGCAGACGAACTGCCTGGGAGAGAAGAGACAGGGTGCTAGGCCATGTGGTAGACCCCTGTGACTTTCCAGGGTGTTCTGGGCAGATGGATGTTCGATTCTCAGGAACGGGGGGCTTCCGGTACATCATGGATCTGCCTTGACGACCTGTGTCCGAACCTCACTGCTTCGGATGTTTGAGGAAGTATCTTCCAAGTGTCAGAACAAAACACTTGGAACTAAACCCACTTGTGAAAAGGTGAGGGTGGAGGACCAGGATGTCAAGACACGCACAGACTAGACAAAGGGTTTCTGAACTTCTTAAAGGGCCAGATAGTAAATGGGTTACTTTTAGTGTTTGCAGACCAAGAAGTAAAAATTAAGGATATTGTGTACATACTTATATAACCACTTAAAATGTAACCATTTAAAAATGAGAAAACTATCTCAGCTCACAGTTTGTCCCAAAGCAGACAGCAGGCTGGATTTGGCCCCCAGACTCTAGTTTGCTGACCCCTGGACAACCGCTGAGGCCCAGTCTGGGCCCCTCCTCCCAGAGAGGACTTGGTAGAGCTTGGAGGAGCTGAGGTGTGTGCATGTGGCAGGTACTTCCGCCTCAGCCCCTTAACAGTGATTGAGGAAAAGTCCCTGTGGGGAGAGCAGCTGGAACCCGGTTCCCCATGTGTCTTCCTGTTTATGTTTTGGGTTTTGTTCTCTGCAGGGTTGGTCAGCCCCAAAGCTCTGTTTGGCCCTCCCCTGCTTCCAGCAGCCCGCTCCGGGAGACCTGGTCCTCAGGGACGCCCCCACCCCAAGCGTGCCAAGCGCCCGCTACTTGGGGAGAAGCCAGGCCTTCTAGCACCACCGCCAGGTGAGTAGCCAGGTGAGCTGCGAGTGCCATTCTGGGCTCTTGCCGTCGGTGGGAACTTTCTGTGTCAGAGAAAACAGCTGCGTGGCCACACATGGCTATTGAAATGTGACGGTAAGACTGAGAAACTGAATTTTTCATTTTGTTTAATTTTAATTAACTTAAAACGCCTGTAGTCATATAGTAATTACGTAGCAGTCACGTGTGGCTAGTGGCCACTGTAATGGGTAGAGTAGTTCTAGGCTATGGGACATGTCAAGAGGCTACAGCAATAGGTAGGAATATGTGTTTTCATCTCGTAGAAATAGATTTCCTAGTCTTTGTCCCCCTCCCTCCTCATTTTTAAAGCTGTAGATGTACTTAACAAGGGAAATCCATCTTTAATACAAATGGATATTATCATCAGTTGCTGTAAAACAAAAGGTAACCCTAAAGAAGAGAACACAAGAGAGTGTCACTAAATTCCTGCTAGAAGCTAATGACTGTCTCAGTCTCTAAGCTTAAGACTTGTTCTCCCTGCGGTTAAGAAAGGAGATTACTAAGGGTCAGAGAGGTGTTAATGGGACACTGGCACTACTAGAAACTCTCCTTGACTGTGCCTATTCAGAAGGATTGCAAGAAGCTGGCAAAGGGAGTATCTTCTGACGAGGCTGAATGACATGTAATTGTGCGCCTGTGTGTCCTTGATGGCGTCGGGGGTGTGTGCTTTGTTTCTGCCTGGCTCAGGGAGATGCACAGCCTCCATGCTGCCTGGCACGGGGACAGGAACCTGAGCGGCCATATTGAAGGTGCTGACTGATTGATACCCGGCCCAGAGGCTGCACAGAAAGAGAGGCTTTTTCTCCGTCTTCCTTCCCGGTACAGGCCTGGCCCCCTCTTTTCTGATGCTGCCTTCCCTCCTGTATGGCTGGGAGAGAGGAGGCCAGAGGCCCCCACGCCGCCCCCAACCCCACTAAGGCCCAAAGGTGGTGATAAGAGCTGACTTGCACTCTGGCTTCAGTGGAAGGCAGCCAGGAGGCATTTTGCTGACCCCATTTCTAGTCAGTCAGGCTCACCAAGCCTAAGTAGGGGCACTGCCCAGGGTTCCTCTTAGTTCACTCTTTTTTTTTTTTTTTTTTTTATGTTTTATTTATTTCTAGGAAAGAGAGAGAGACAGGGTGAGCAGGGGAGGGTCAGAGAGAGAGGGAGTCACAGACTGAAACAGGCTCCAGGCTCTGAGCTGGCGGTCAGCACAGAGCCCGACGTGGGGCTCGAACCCACGAACTGCGAGATCATGACCTAAGCGAAAGTCGGACGCTCAACCGACTAAGCCACCCAGGCGCCCCTCTCTTAGTTCACTCTTATGATATTTGAGTTCTCTCCTGAGATTTGGTGCTGAAGCTCCAGGTCATAGGAAAACAAGCCCTTGTCCCTCTGTGGTTTTCACTGAAGAGACATTTTTCTTTTCCTTTTTTTAAAGTTTATTTATTTTGAGAGAGAGACAGCATGAGCAGGGGAGGGGCAGAGAGAAGGTGAGACAGAATCCCAAGAAGGCTCCCTGCTGCCAATGGAGAGCCCGACACAGGGCTCAAACTCACAGACTGTGGGTATCATGACCTGAGCCAAGATCGACTCAGATGCTTAACCAGCTGAGCCACCCAGGCGCCCCGTGAGAAACATTTTTCTTGAAACTTACTGCCATTAAAATTTGCTTTTCTTTTCACGTTTATTTTTGAGAGAGAGAGAGACAGAGTGGAAACAGGGGAGGGGCAGAGAGAGAGGGAGACACAGAATCTAAAGCAGGCTCCAGGCTCTGAGCTGTCATCACAGAGCCCAACAGAGGGTTCGAACTCACAAACCATGAGATCATGACCTGAGCTGAAGGCAGACACTCAAGCAACTGAGCCAACCAGGCGCTCCTGCCATTTTAAAGTTTTAATCCTCAGGGCACCTCTATTCAGTTGATAGAGCATGGGGCTCTTGAACTCTGGGTCCTGAGTTTCAGCCCCACGTTGGGAGTAGAGTATACTTATATAAGAGTAAAATTTCAGTCCTCTGTTTTAGTCATACCTGGTTCTGCAAGATAACCATTGCTGTGGTTGTGGTATAAAGGATGTAGGTTTATACAGTGGTGCCAAGACATGGAATAGACATAGGTCAGTGACTTCCACCCCCCGGGGACCCCAGACAATCTAATTCTGAAGTTCCTCATCTGACAGACCACATTTTAGGGGAAATTTCGAGAATTTTCCTTATCCCTAAGATGGCCCTGTTTGGCTTCTGAAGGCTGGCTCATCCCCACATTCCAGGACTAATAGTTGGAGAAAACATTTTTTTAATATATATATTTTTACTGTTTTATTTATTTTTGAGACAGAGCAAGTAGGGCAGGGGCAGGGGGATGGGTACAGAGGATCCAAAGCAGGCTCCCTGCTGACAGTAGAGAGCCTGATGCGGGGCTTGAACTCACAAACTGAAATTATGACCTGAGCCAAAGTCGGGCGCTTAACCGACTAAGCCACCCAGGTGGGGAGAAAACGTTTTTAGAAAACAAAAGGGAAAGGGGCGCCTGGGTGGCTTAGTCGGTTAAGCGTCCGACTTTTGCCTAGGTCATGATCTTACGGTTCGTGGGTTTGAGCCCCACGTCGGGCTCTGTGCTGACTGCCAGCTCAGAGCCTGGAGCCTGTTTCAGAGTCTGTGCCTCCCTCTCTCTCTGACCCTCCCCTGCTCACGCTGTCTCTCTCTCTCTCCTAGAAATAAATAAAACATTTAAAAAAAAAAAAAAAAGAAAAAAAACAAAAGGGAAAACATGAAGCATGCCTATACAAGGTATAACCACGATAGTTCCCGTGTATCGCGTTCTCGTTATGTCCCGGGCATTGAGGTAGTTTTATTTAGCTTTCAAGCAACCTTGTGAGCTAATAGTAAGATTCTCTCTGTTTTCTACACGAGTCACCCAAGGCTCAGAGGGTGATGAGCCTGGCTGGAGTCACACACTGGTACCTGGTGGGGTGGAGACTGTACACCAGCCGTGAAGCTCCATGCTCTGTGTTCTGACTGACACCAGGTGCCAGGATTAAATGAGATAATATGATTGAACAGCTTTTTTTTTTTTTTTTTTTTTAATGTTTATTTTTAAGGTGGGAGGGTGGGGGGCAGAGAGGGAGGAAGACACAATATGAAGCAGGCTCCAGGCTCTGAGCTGTCAGCACAGAGCTCAACACAGGGCTCAAACTCATGAATTGCGAGATCATAACCTGAGCAGAAGTCGGACGCTTAACTAACTGAGCCACCCAGGCGCTTCTAATGAACAGCTTTTAAAAGGCCCCAAGAACTGCACAGATGTCCATCTGCTGAGACTGCAGCTAGGTCAGTTCGATTCTTCCTGCAGAGGTGGGTGTGGCTGCGGGGTGTCGGTCGCCTGGCTGCTCTGCAGACCAGGAGGGGGACACATACCCATGCTGCGGTGTCCCTTCTCTTTACAGATCTTCAGTCAGTGCTGCTCAGGCAGGCCGCTCAGGCCACTTCTCTGCTGAAGTAAGGAAAGGCTCCCCGGGGCTGGGAGAACAAGGTGGCTGCGGCCCGGATGGCGGCCTCACCCTGCTGGGAGGCCGGGCCCCTGTCTGACCCGGGTACGAACGTGCTTCCCTTCTGTCCAACACGCAGTCCCGTGGAGACGCGTTTCATGTTTGGGGGTTCTTTGTGCCAAACTGGAGGTTTGTGGAAGATGTTATAGATACTGGATCTGGAAGTTGTTCGATTATGTACGTATTAACATATAATAAAAACTTCTAGCTTTTACATACTGGTTGCCGCTTTTAAGGACTTGTTATTTTAGAATAACTTGAGATTTACAGAAGATTCCCAAAGATAGTACAGGGAGTTCCCTTTATCCAGCTTCCCCTAATGTTAACGCCTTTTATAACCACGGTACCTTCACGGGCAATTCGCGTTACTGCAATACTGTTCACTGCACTATAGACTTGTATTTTACCAGCTTTTCTGCTAATGTCATTTTTCTGTTTCAGAAACTATTTTGGTTATCACATTGCATTTAGACTCCTTTAACTTTATCATGTTCCAATTTTTTTATTATGAAACATTTAAATGTACATAAAACTTGAATGACGAGTACAATGAATACTCATATATTCTGTATCAACAGTTGTTAACATTCTGTCATTTCTTAAGATGTACATACGTCCGTGTAAATAAAATTTTTTTTCTCAACCATGAAAGTAACTTACAGTTCATGACACCCACCTTTAAATACTTAATTAAGCCTTGTAGCATGCATCTGCTAAGACTGGGACTAATCTCCTATATAATTATGATAATGTTTCATACCTTAAAAATTAATAATAATTCTATAATACCTAATATCTGGTTCCCTGATTTGAATTTTCCCATTTATCCCCCAGAAGCTTTTATGACTTTTCTTTTTTTTTTTTTTTTTTTTTAAGATTTTATTTTTAAGTAATCCCTACACCCAGTGTGGAGCTGAAACTTACAGCCCCGAGGTCAAGAGTTGCACCCTTCACTGACTGAGCCAGCCAGGTGCCCCTTCTGTGGCCTTTTTTAAAAACCAGGATTTACTTAGTTTGTACATTGCATTTTTTTAATCTCCCATTTTATTTACTTATTTTTTGAGTTTATTTTTTGATAGAGAGCACAGGTTGGGGAGGAGCAGAGAGAAAGGGGGACAGAGGATCCAGAACAGGCTCCACACTGACAGACAACCCAATGCGGGGCTCGAACTCACAAACCGTGAGATCATGACCTGAGCTGAAGTCAGACTTATGTGTGCTTGGTTTATTTTAATCTAGAACATCCCCCACCCCCGCCAGTGATACTGACTTTGAATCTAAACCACTTACGTTGTAGAATGTCCTACATTCGGGATTTGTCCGATTCTTTCTTCAGGGGCATCGCATAACTGTTCTTCTATTCCTTATATTTTCTGTATCCTAGAAGATTGGTCTAGAGGCTTGATTGGATTCAGGTCCTGTATTTTGGCAAGGATATTTCACAGATGG